TTTCTCAGAAAATTAGGAAACAACCTTCCTCAAGACCCAATAATACCACTTTTGGGTATATCCAAAGGATGCTCAATTGTGCCACAAGGACGTGAGCTCAACTATGCAGCTTTGTTTGTCATAGCCAGAACCTGGAAACAGCCTAAATGTCCCTTGATCGAAGAATGAATAAGAAAAATGTGGTATATTTACACAATGGAGTACTACACAACAGAAGAAAATAACGACAGCTTGAATTTTGCAGGAAAATGGATGGAGCTAGAAAACACCATTTTGAGTGAGGTAACCCAGACCCAGAAAGACAATTATCACAAGTACTCACTCATAGGTGGTTTTTAAACATAAGGCAAAGAAAGCCAGCCTACAAACCACAATCTCAGAGAACTTAGACAACAATGCAGACACTAAGAGAGATTTACATAGATCTAATCTACATGGGAAGTAGAAAGTAGAAAAAGACAAGATCTCCTGAGTAAATTGGGAGCATGGGGACCTTGGGGGAGGGTTGAATGGGGGGAGGGGAGAGGCAGGGAGGGGATCAGAGAAAATTGTAGAGCTCAATAAATATCAGTAAAAAAAAAGAAAAAAAGAATATGACACCTACATTACCAAGAGTTGGGGTGGGTGGTTTTTGTTTGTTCAATGGATTATGGGCTATTTGTCCTTTTTTAGGTGAGTAGTTACAAGTTATTATTGATAATGGTCAGGTAAAAACTAATTAAAGGAAATTAAGATTCAAGGTCCTTATTTTAAAAAGAAAAGAAAGAGTATAGATATGATAAGATTAATTTTTTAGAGTATGCTGCATATATATTTCTACTCTTGTTCAAAGTATTGTACCCATACAACTCATTTAACAATGTAATGCCAATTTTTATTCCTTGAAAGTTATTATTACCAACTGTTTAGGGTAATAAAGAAATACAGGCTAGTAATTAGTCACCTATCATAATTGAGCTTGCAATATATTAGGTATGTTTTCAAGGTCAAACAAAGATAGATTTTTAGAAAGACAGATCATCTTCAAACACTTCAGAGATCTACAGAATATGGCATTTAAGATGTTTTAATAACATTGGCTCCTTTTTATTACAATGAGGCATGTCTGGCAGCATTGATCTACTTCAAAGAAAAAATGCCACATAGAGTTTTGCTTTCTTTGTGGCAAAAGGGAGCCACTGAGCAAGAAAATGTCCTTACCTCAACGGCTAGCAGTAAGCTGTCCTAACTGGACAAGCAGGACACAAAACAAAGTGACTGCCAGACATTGTCAAGACAAGGAGGGACAGTCCTTAGAATATCCTGCTTCACAGAAAAGTCTGTCAGATATGCTAGGCCTGTGGGCCTAAGATGGATGCCCCAGCACTGCCGAGGAACTTTGGGTGACTGTCTAGGCAGTCAGCTATTTTTGTCATTTCTCACATTTTTTTGGAAGTTGCTTGCTTGTACTTCCTGCTTACTAAATTAATATTATTTCCTTATTGGGTCTCTGAGGGAGGTGAAGATTTGTTATAGCTATAGTTTGCCAGACACAGAAATCAAGTTATGATAGAAAGTAAATTAGATATAAGTCTTTGGATTCACCCAGATAAGATAAATATGGAGTATTTTCTCTGAATTTATCAGAGAATAATTTATTTTAACTGACTAGACATTGTTAATGTATTTATTGCCTGTATAGATTGTATACAGTCATTGTATTTATTGTATATACTTTTCTTTTATTAGTTATAGCTTTCTTTTTTATTTTAGGCAAAAAGGGGAAATGTAGTGATATTTAATTTGTATTTTAATAAGTAAACCTTGCCTAAAGATCAGAGAATCAGCCTTACAGACAGGACAGTGGTGACACACACCTTTAATCCCAGTTGCCAAGCTAGTTTGCCATAGAAACCAGGCAGTAGTGGTGCACGCCTTTAATCTCAGCCCTAGAGAGGAATATAAAATGGGAGGAGACAGCTCTCACACACAGTCTCATTCTGAGGATTCCTGGAGGCAGGATGGCCATTTCGGACTGAGGTTGAGGTAAGAGCCAGTGGCTGGTTGTTTTGTTTTTCTGACCTTCAGGTTGAACCCCAATTTCTGTCTCTGGGTTTTTATTAATCACGCTACACCTAAAGGCCAGGAGATTGGCTGTCTGCCACAGGTTGGTCAGGATCTGTGGGAAGGCTGTGCATGTGACAAACGCGGAAGGGAAGAGTGCATGGGATCCAAGTCAGGAGTGTCTCTGAGGATCCTTGACCAAGCCTGGACCTCAGATCCAGAACCTAGAAGCTGGGAGTGTGGCTCAGAGGTGAAGTTACAGCCTAGAATCCTCCAATGAGGGGTTGGGGCACGAGTCAGGGGTGGATCCCCAGCTTAGAATCCCCAGTGTGGGACTGGGGGAGTGGCTTAGGTTGAAGACCCTGCCTAGAATCCCCAGTGAGGGCCTGGGGGCGTGGCTTAGGGTGGATCTTGGCGTAGAATCCTCCAGTGAGGAGCTGGGGGTGTGGCTCAGAGGTGGAGCCTCTATCTAGACTTCTCCAGTGAGGAGCTGGGAGCAGGACTGAGGGTTGGAGTCCCTGCCTAGTTGGTGTGGGAAGTCCTTCTGTCTATGTGTTGCTTTTGTTGGTTAATGAATGAAATCTGTTTCCGCCAGCTGCTTAGCAGAATGGGGCAAGGTGGGAGTTCCAAGCAGGTAAAGGAGGAGAGAGTAGGCAGAGTCAAGGAGAAGTCATGTAGCCCCATTGGAGACAGACTCCTGATGGAACTTTACCCACACAGCAACGTGACTATACACGGATCAATAGAAATGGGTTGATTTAAGGTATAAGAGTTAGGGGCTGGAGAGATGGCTCAGTGGTTAAGAGCACTGGCTGCTCTTCCAGAGGTCCTGAGTTCAATTCTCAGCAACCACGTGGTGGCTCACAGCCATCTATAGTGAGGTCTGGTGCCCTCTTCTGGCCTGCAGGCACACATGGAAGGAATATTATGTACATAATAAATAAATAAATCTGTTTTTTTTTAAAGATATGAGTTAGCCAGAAATACTCTTAAGCTATTGGTCAAACAGTGCTGCAAATAATATAGTTTCTGTGTGATTATTTCATGGTCTGGGCAGCCAGGAACAAACAAGTGGCCTCCACCTAGTGTTATAAACAAGAAAAGGTAGGCTTTGGTCTGAAACCCTTTGGTTCTCTGACCTTCCCTTCCCATTGTTGTCTGCTGAGAGGGTCTGGGTTTCTGAGTTCTGTCCTGTAAACTGTTCATACCTCAGAAGTCTGTTTGTTGCACCCCCTCCCCTGCCCCTGGAAAGTGGGATCCAGCAGGTGCCACAAGACTGGTCTGTTCTCCCTTCTCACGTGTGCATGTAGATTGGTGGCTGGTCCCTGTTTTCGACCTCTGCAGGTGCTACGTGGCAGTTACCGTCAGCATCCCAGCATATGGTTGATCTGCCCTTGCCTCCCTGCCCATCTGATAAGTGCTGAGAACACGGCACCTCCTGGTAGCTTGAATTTGCTTTCCTTGGGGTACAGGAAGGTAGGGCACCTTTAAAAACACAAGAGGCCTTTTTCTCAGACCTGACTTCCTTCACCCGGCCTCCCAGAGCCCTGGGGAGACAGGTACTTATCTTAGGAGGGTGCGTCTAGGGAGCAGGGCAGGGCCCTGGGTGGGGCGTCATTACCTGTTTATGGTGTCGTGGTCACTTGCACCTGAGTGATTCCAAAACCTCAACTATGCAGAGAGTGACCATTTGAAAGGGAGTGGGTGGCTGAGCCACTGGCATTCCGTCAGGTGCCAGGGGACGGGTTCTCAAGTGCATGGAACTGAAGGGCAGAAAATAAACCTTTCCCAGGGCAATGGTGCAGCAGCGCTTGGCACTGCTGGCCCCTGGCAGCTCCACCTCGTGTATTTCTAGAGCATTACTTCCCCACCAAAACCACCCCCTGGCAGCCCCTGATCAGCTCCTTGTCTGTGGATTTCCCCGCCTGTGAATTTCTTGTGAGCCCTTTACACACAGTTGGAACATCTATGTTGGCTGCTGTCACTCAGCAACATGTCTCCTTACGAGGCTTTATTCCCTCCACTCAGGGAGGGGTCACTGTGTCATGCGACCCTTGATGCTGTAACTGTCTTCTGCATACTGGTCCAGGAGGATTCAGGTTTTAAGTTTATGGACTTAATTCCTCTCCCTCAGCAGGCTCCTAGGACCCCAAACTCAAGAGTTAGGACCTGGGGCTGGAGAGATGGCTCAGAGGTTAAGAGCACTGACTGCTCTTCCAGAGGTCCTGAGTTCAATTCCCAGCAACCAAATGGTGGCTCACAACCGTCTGTAATGAGATCCGGCACCCTCTTCTGGCATGCGGGCATATATGCAGGCAGAATGTTGTATACATAATAAATAAATAAATCGTTTTTTTTTTTAAAAAAAAAAAAAAGAGTTAGGACCTACAGGTTTTGTGGGTAACTCCGGAGGAGGGGAATAGGTTACATGATTCTAGTATTTAAGAGTCAGAGGGGGCCGGGCCATACTGGCGCACTCCTTTAATCCCAGCACTAGGGAGGTGCAGGCAGATCTCTGCCGAGTTCAAGGTCAGCCTGGTCTGCAAGAACTAGTTTCAGGACAGGCTCCAAAGCTACAGAGAAACCCTGTCTCGAGGGGGGAAAAAAAGAGTCAGAGGGCCTATCAACAGGTTTTAGGGTTCTGGGGTCTCTCTTCCCAGTGGAATGTCTTCATGCAGCGGTGGCTGAGCTGTGGATGGGGGCTGCAGATGGAGAGTGCAAGCCAGATGTGACTTTTACAGCACAGCGCTGGGGAGCCCTTGCTCCCTCACAGTGGGGTGAGTGAAGGGAAAGGGAGGCCCTAAGCGAAGGAGGAGCGGTACCACAGAACCGGTGGGAGGATGGATGAGGACGGGAAAGGTCACCGCGGAGTACAGGACCGGGAGGGGAGGGTCAAGGAGTCCGGAGGGGGCCGCGGAAACGGCGCGAGGGGAACTTCCCCCTTGGTCAGTAGGCAGCTGGTGAGACTGGAGAAAGGAGCCCACACGGAGGGCGGGAAGGAGGCGGAAGGAGGAGAGAAGCCAAGAGCCAGGGCGGGGCGGTCGGTCAGGTGAAAACCATTCTTCCTCCCCGGGCTGTCCCGAGCTGGCTCCCACGGTGAGTGCGGCGGGAGTCCTGGGGGCCGCGGGGGATTGGGGTCTCCGGCGGCCCCGACAAGACTTTCTGCGCGCCCTTGACCGCGAGCTACTGACCGCTCCGGCCCAGGGGCCCCGGGGATGAGCCATATTCCAGGGTCAGGAGCCAGCGCTTCTCGCCAATTCGTGTCCGCATAGCCCAGCGGCTCTGACCCTGACTCGGTTTCCCGTTTGTGTTTGTGATGTTTCCAGGTGTTCGGAATCTTTGTCCTCACGCCGACACCGGGGAAGCTCGGATGAGGAGCCTTAGATCTCCAAGCCTCAGTTTCCCCCTATTGGCATGAAGCTTGCGGTGAAGGTGATCTGCGATGCGCGGTGGCCACTAAGTGGGTAGTCGTCTATCACCATAGTTAAAGTAAGAGAGTTCGTGTTGCTAGCCAAGCTTCGGAGGCTTTGAGGGTAATTTACCTTCTTTTCTCTTCCTTTATTCCTTTCCTTTCTGAGACTGGCTTTGAACGTTCAACCTTCCTTTCTGGACCCCCAGTTTCACTTCTTCACCTTGACCTGTTGTTGTCAGGAGAGGAAGGTGTGGCTGCAGGAAGACACTAGTTGGTCTCCACCTGGCTCCAGTGTTTGTGCAGCCAGGCCCAGGGCGGATCCCCTCGCCCAGGAGTGGTACTTCCCGCCTCAGGGCTTAGGCTGTGCGGACCCTGGGGGGCCTCCGGGGACTACTCTGTGTCCATAAGTCCGGAGTTTCACAGGCCCCACTCTCGGCTGGGAGTCCAGCTCAGTGCCTCCTCTGGCGGGAAACTAATTCGGTCGATTCCAGTGGTGACCGACCCCCTCTGAGCTCGGCCCATGTATTTGCTTGACTCTTGATTACTTGGCTCTTTTGTCTGTGACATTTATCTCTGAGAAAATCAAAGTGATTATTGTAATCCTGATGTAAATGTCACCGGAGGAAGTCTATCGCCTGGATGGGACCCACCTGGAGGGGTGGGGACTCAGGGAGACCCTACATGGGACCCCAGATGGGAGCTGTGAGGCTGCTGTGAGGCCGAGCCCTGCTTCCTGAAAGGGGCGAGGATCCCTCTCCTCCCCAGCCTCAGTTTCCCCGTCTGGACTGATGGTCTGGGATCCTGGCTCATTTCCTTCCCTGGCCTGGAAGAGGGAAGCAGCGCCCTTCCGTGAATCATGCGGGTGGCTCGCGGAAGCTGGGATGCGACGTGCAGCGCTGGGGCAACCTGGTCATCATGTGGACCTGGGGCGAGGCTTTCCATAGCTTTATCTTTATAGAAATTCTCTTTTTGTTTATAAAAGTTAGACCCCGCTCCTTGTAAAGAGAAGCTTACCAACGTTAAGGGAAGGCAAATTGGTACAATCCCGAGAGGAACCTCACTGGGGTCAGGGCTGGTACAGCCCGCCCTGCCCAGCCTGGTGCGGGGTGGCCGCGGGCAAATGTCTGTCAGCTGGAAACCCAGGCTGACCACTGGACCCAGATGGGGGCCTTCCCGAAGCTCCAACGTACTCTACAGCCCGCAGTCTGTGGGAGCATATCCAAGAGCTTTCTGAGAGTATCCGCAGAGGTCCAGACATTCATCCCAAAGAAGTTCTCAGATCCTCCGTGTGTCACCCTCTGCAGCTCCACGGCCTCATACATAGTGACATAGTGATATTTTATTTGGGCTTTAGTAAAAATAGTTTGCCTAAAGATTAGAGTGCAGAGCTAAGCCGCTAGAATTCCTGGACTCAAGGGCACCCTTGACTACCAGAGAGTGTCAGGGTAAGGAGAGAAACAGTTCACATCTTTGATTCCAGTACTTGAAAAGACACTCCTTTGACCCCAGCACTAATTGGAACCTGAGGCCGGAGTTCAGTGCAGTCTCAGGGGCACTCTGAGGTTTGGTGGGGAGCACTGCGGTCTACAGTCACGTCTACAGATTGATCGCCCTGTGTTGTCTGAGCTCTCTATTGGCTGATGCTTTGCTTGTCTGATTTTCAACTTGAACCCCAATATCTGTCTCTGGGTTTTTATTATTCATGCTACACTCATAGGCTTCTCTGTGTAGCCCTGGCTGTCCTGGCACTCGCTCTGTGGACCAGGCTGGCCTTGAAATCCACCTATCTCTGCCTCCCCCTAGGACTGAAGGTGCTGAGATTAAAGGTTTGCTCCTCCAATGCAGTAGGGGAAGGGCAGAGAGTGAATCCTGTGCCTCAGTAGCAAATGCTACTGAGGGGTCCCACCCCTAAGCCCCGCCCCAGCCCCTCACTGGGGATCCTAGGCAGGGGCCCCAGCCCCTCACTGGGGGATCCTAGGCGTTCTCTGCAGCCTGCTCCTTCTTTTCCCTCCTGGCCTCTCTGGCCCCTCCTCTCCTGCTGCTACTTGATGCTGTTTCTGTTTCAATTTCCGCATAGATGCGGCAGTCACTACAGGGAACGCTGGTTCCTCAGTGCCCCCACCCCCACCCCTCACCTCTGTTGGTGGGAACAGAACTCAACACTGCTCTGGGCTCCAGGCCTGGGGACGGAGGGTGTTTCGGACTGGGGGTCCCCACAGTCACCCCTGGGAGAGGCTCCTGGGCCCTGACCAGTGAAATAAGTAACTCTGCTGCGAGGGGAAGAAAGGGACCAGAACCGCCGGAATTCCTGCGACTTTCTGTGACCTCAGGCTTCTGATACTCTGTCCCACTTCAGCGCCTTGCTGGTGGTGGGCAACAGCATGCGCGCACAGTGCTTCACCCAGGCACCCAGATCCCTTACTGGGGTTTGTGTCCCACAGGGTCCTTCAAGCCCCAGATGCCACCTCAAGGCTCCCTTGCCTTGAGCCCGCCCGCCCCCCTCCCACCCCTCCACGTGCAGGTCGGTTTCCTTCTAGGTCCTCAGATTTGGTGACAAGCCCCTTTGCCCGCTGAGTTCTCTCCAAGCCACTCTCTCTCCTCACAGGTTTAACCTCAGGCCAGGGTGGGAGGATCTCTCTGTAAGTTCAAGGCTAGCCTGGGCTACACTGTGAGCTGCTGTCAATGCAGATGTGTCCTCAGGGCCTTTGGGGGTGACAGGTGACCCTGGTTCTGTTCCCAGTGCACTCACACAGAGCTGCTAAATCACTCTCTCCCACCCCCAACTTTTTTCCTCACCCTAAAGGAGGGCCCAGCCAAGCTCTGTCACCCTCACCTCCCTCTGTGTCCTCTGGGCTGTGTCTGCCTCACCTCTGTGTGACCCCACATCATCCTGTGCCCTCAGCTCAGTGTCCCTGCTGCCCCAACCCTTGGCTCTGCGGGACCCCACATTCAGGCAGTAGGATCACCACACTTTGCTGCTGTCAGGGACTCTGAGACTGAACCAGGTTGTGTCCCTTTGTGGTTTGTCTGTGGTCTGCCCTGTTGAACTCTTGTGCATCTTTCAAAGCCTCAGCCTCGATGTCTCAGTCCCATTTACTAGGTCGCTGCCTTCTCTCTGTGGGACCCTGGATGTCAGGGTCTTGTCCAGGATTGAGGTGTATCAGGCTTCCGGGCTGTCCTGGAAGTCATCATGTAGACCAGGCTCACCTTGAACTCATGGAGATCCTCCTGCCCCTGCCTCTCTAGTGCTAGGATTAAAGGTGTGCACCACCATGCACTCCTGGCATGTTTGAGTTTTTAACAGGAGTTTGGGTGGCTGGCAAAAATCTGAAGATCTCGTTCATGTTAACCGAGGTCTAGCTTAGGCGCTGATGGAAGTTTATCCTGGGCAGGAGGAATCTCTTTCCTGACTCTGACTGAAGCTGCTCAAATTTCAGGAGAAGCCTGAGAGCCCCATGTGTATCCATTAGGCGAATGAATGAATGAACTAATGACGGACTTCAAACCCACAGGAGTCCTAGGGCAGGGTCTGGCTGCTGTGCAGGAACCTGTCCCTCAAGATCAGCGGAATGGCAGCTAACAAAACCTCCCTGTGCAAATCAATAGCAGTCGCGCAGGTTACAGTCCTGAGGCCTATGGCACTTTTTCTGGGGTCCATCTTGTTTGACTTGGAGGTTCAGAGAGGTCAAACCACTGTGTCAAAATCACACAGCAGAACCCATGGCACAGAGCCAGAAGCCAGCCTGGTCCAGGCAGTAGCAGGTGGGGTTGCTTGAAACCTACAATCTCAAGGACATTTGTCAAACCCTACATTGTTCAACAGTCATTCAACAAAGGCTTGTTGCTGGAAATGCTTTGTGCAGGTGTCCCCTCTAAATGTGCAGGCACCAAGGTCTGGGCACAAAGCCAGGGTGTGTGGGCCTGTTCAGTGAAGGAGGAAGTCCCGCCGTGAGTCTTCTCTGCTCATGGAAGACAACCGTGCTCTGGGTTCCCAGGCGAGGGGCTTGTAGGCTGAGCCCTGCGGTCTGTCAACCCAGCACTCAGGATGCGAGAGTAGGTGGACAGCTCAAGGCCATCCTCAGCTACACAGCCAGTTTGAGGACAGCCTGGGCTACACAACTCTGTGTCAGTGGGGAATAAAGTTTCCTGAAATCAAGACCATGTGAGCTGGGGTTCTGATGGATTTGCAAGAGTTTACCACAAACATCAAATGCTTTCTGCCTTGGCTTCTTGCCCATCTCATGCTGGGCAGGGCCAGGGCCCAATGCACAAAGGGACAGGGACCGGCAGTGCCAGGGGACAGAAGGGGCAATGAAGAATGCCTGGGACACGAATCATTCAAAATGGGAATGAAGGCTCCGTGAGGACCTGGTCTGAGTCCAATGACAATCAATATTGGTGGGGGAGGGCGAGGAGGACTGAGCGTTCGTGTCTGTCCAACCTGGGTACACAGCTCCCATGACCTTGCTCTAGGCCTACCGACGCCATGCGGACGCCCCGGCCGCGCCTCGACGTGATCCTCGTCCTGGCCATGGCTTCCATCTCACTGCTGCTCCTGTCTCACGTGTCACCGCCCGGCTGCCCCGCACTGGAGAGGCCCGCGGAGCCCCAGGAGTTCGCCACGTGGGCCCCGAACCCTCCGCGCGCGGCCTCCGCCCCGTGCCTGGCCAACCTGTCGATGGCGGAGCACCCGGACTTCAGCGCGCTGCCCGCGCACGTGCGCGACTTCCTGCTGTACCGACACTGCCGCGACTTTGCGCTGCTGCGGGAGCCGCCGGCCGCCAAGTGCGCGCGGCCAGTGTTCCTGCTGCTCGCCATTAAGTCGTCACCCGCCAACTATGGTCGCCGCCAGGTGCTGCGCCGCACGTGGGCGCAGGAGCGGCAGGTACACGGGGCGCCGCTGCGCCGCCTCTTCCTCGTGGGCAGCGATCGCGACCCTCGAGAGGCCCGTAAGTTCAGCCGGCTGCTGGAGCTGGAGGCGCGGGCGTACGGTGACATCGTGCAGTGGGACTTCCACGACTCCTTCTTCAACCTCACGCTTAAGCAGGTGGGCGAAGGAAGTGGGGTTCTGCAGTATGCGCAAGAGGCCCACGCAGGGAAGGGGGAAGGCCTGAGCGACGGGGCCTGGGGAACCTCGCTAGCCCGCGTGTCCCCCACTCCACCCGCAGGTCCTCTTCCTGGAGTGGCAGCGGACTCGCTGCCCCGACGCCAGCTTTGTTCTCAATGGGGACGATGACGTCTTTGCGAACACGGACAACATGGTCACCTACCTGCAGGGCCGTGACCCGGACCGCCACCTCTTCGTGGGTCACCTGATCCAGAACGTGGGCCCTATTCGCTCGCCCTGGAGCAAGTACTTCGTGCCCAAGCTGGTGACCGCTGACGAGAGCTACCCGCCGTACTGCGGCGGCGGCGGCTTCCTGCTGTCGCGCTTCACCGCGGCCGCGCTGTTTCGCGCCGCGCGCGACCTCCCGATCTTCCCCATCGACGACGTGTTCCTGGGCATGTGTCTGCAGCAGCAGGGCCTGGCGCCCGCTTCGCACGACGGGGTGCGCACGGCGGGGGTGCACGCCCCTAGTCCCCGCCTGTCCTCCTTCGACCCCTGCTTCTACCGGGGGCTGCTCCTCGTGCATCGCTTCCTGCCCTTCGAGACGCTGCTGATGTGGGACGCGCTGAGCCAGCCCCAGCTCTCCTGCGGCAAGCAGAGCACGGTCTCCTGAGACGCTGGGGTGGTCAGCATCCCCCCCCCCCCCCCGCCCCGGTTCCTGTCCCCACCCTCGAGCGGTGTCAGGGCAGGTCTGAGGAGCCGGTAAGCTTCAAAACCCTCTCGGTACTGCTCACCGTGACAGGCTCTGGGTTGAACAAGTATGAACTAAGGAGAATTGCTGCGGCCACGGCCCAACTCGGAGCTCCTGGTGTCAGGTTCCGGCCTTGCCCCGAGCCTCTGCCTCCGCAGGTCCCCAAGGAAGTGAGGCAGGGGAGCGAGAAGGATCTTGACTTGGCCGCAGTGGTGTTCCCCAAGGATTGGGGGAATAGGGATAAGAGTGGTCCTGTGTCCCACAGACGGGTGACGGGAAATAAAGTCTGTGGAAGGCTGAAGGTGATGCTTTACAGTGCGGGGCACAGAACACGGGGCTTGACCCCTTTTCGTTTTATCAATTCAGAATTATTGTTTCATTGAGTATGCCACGCCGTGGGTGGACAAAGGGTCCACCCTTGGGGCTTGAACTCAGATCTTCAGGCTTGGCGGCAAGCGCCTCTACTCTCACCAGTCCCCGTTTTAATCTTTTTTAAAGCACTATTCACGTTCTAATGCTATCTGCTATACGCTCTCTTTTACCTTTAATATTTTATTAACCTACAAAATCGAGCGTTCATTGTGACATCTTCACTTCTCAAGTCCCCCTTGGTCCCCTGCTCCCCTCCCCCATCCATTCTTGTTTTGTTTTGTTTTGTTTTCCCCAAAGGTGGGTTTTCCCGGTGTGAGTTGTTGCTGCAACAGTGGAGTCCTAGTCAACGGAGGACACCGAACTCTGCACACACAGCCCGGGGTGGGCTGGTGGGCGGGGCAAACCCGCCTAACTTCCCCATGCAGCAAGCCTGTTTCCCCAGTGTGTCCTGGTGTCACCTCAGGTCTTTGTGTGACTGCAGCGCAGCCACAGCCCACCGCTGCCCCCCACCCCCGTGTGGCTTTTCCCAGACAAAATGTGTGAAGTTGCTTTTTTATTTAGATTATCGGGGACACAAGGGGTAGTGGGGGACGACACAGGGCGTGTTGGAGGCTCCTCCTGGGGCAGGACGTGTGACCCTCCTTTTTCGGGATCTAATACTAACTGGTACTCCTCCGAGGCAAACCCGGGCTCTTGCATTCACTCGGGCCCTGGAGGTATGGAGCATCCTGACGGAGGGGGGGGGGCAATCAAGGACCCATCGCCTGAGTCCAGGACCCCCTCAGGTGGGACAGAGGTGCCCCAGGTCTTGCTGTGTGCAGCCAGTGAGACAGCAGCGGTGCGCAGGGTTCGTGGCCGCACTGCGGCGGTGGCGCTGAGGAGCCTGGGGAGGAAGCTGCGGGCCGGGGTCGAGCCTGGGGTCCTGCGCGTCAGCCTCAAGCACATGCAGGAGCTGCCGCTGCTCCAGCCACCGTAGCAACTCCCCTGCAGTCCGAACAGGAGTCGGTTTAAGTCACTCCAGACACCCAGCACGCGTTTATTATGTGTCCAGTGAAAAGGGAGCGCATACAGAGCGCCTGCTGAACACTCCTTACTCGCAGCTGCTGCCCACACTCACCTCCCAACTGTGTGTCCCAATAAACCTCCTGTGAGCCTCAGTTTCTGGGCCTGGAAGGCTGGGGTCCCTAGAGATGCTTTCAGGACTGGGATCCCCCGTAGCTCACTGGGGAGTACCCCCAGCGTCTGAAAGGAGCCACCGAGAGCTATGCACAGGAACCAAGGGGTGTCTCTCCTCTGGGGCTGGAGGAGTCCTCCTCAAATCCCCCAGGGAGGGCCATAGGCCAGTGATTCTTGCGCTGGGAACGCCAAGGCAAGAAGATTCTTGTGAGTTCGAGGTCACTTTATGTTGTGTAGTGAGCATCTGTCTTTAAAAAGCATTTAGTCAGCCTTTAATCCCAGCACTTGGGAGGCAGAGGCAGGTGGATCTCTGTGAGTTCGAGGTCAGCCTAGTCTACAAGAACAAGTTCCAGGACAGGCTCCAAAGCCACAGAGAAACCCTGTCTCGGAAAAAAAAAAGAAAGAAAGAAAGAAAGAAAGAAAAAAAGCAATTAGTCAGGTGGTGACGACTTAAGCCACACACCCAAGCAGGCAAGCCTAAGGTGAGGAGTTCAAGGTCATCCTCGAGTACTTCGTGAGTTTGAATCCCGCCTGGACTATATGAGACCCCCGTCCCGAAAACTCCAAAAATGGAACAGTTAAATTTAAAAAAAATGAATTAACTTCAGTCCCCTGTTATGGGGGCGACACCGTGAGGGATCTTCCCCTCCCGGTTATCTGTGCATGTCGGCCCCGCCCCGCCCAGCCCCCCACTCACGGTCGCGGGCGTCTACTGGCTGAGTAACTTCGGGGGACCAGCGCGGGCTCCCACACACCCGCACCAGTGCTCGCACCAGGTTGTGGCCGCAGAGTTTGGCGCGCACCTCGTGGGGCTGTGGGGCTCGCAGTGCGAGCTCCAGAGCCGGGAACGGCAGCAGCAGCAGCAGCAGCAGCAGCGGCAGTGTGCACATGATGGCTGGAGGCGGCTCGCGTGGACGCCCCTTATAGTGACTTCGCGCCGCCCACGGGCCTTGGTGGGAACACCGCGTACAGCACGGAGAAGGTCGAGGCTCTTATTTCATGGCCAGGGGCCGTGTGTCCAGCCAGGGACCCTGAAGTCTCTCTCCCAAGTGCCAGGACCTCCCATTATTTTTAAACAAGCCAATGCCCCTCTTGCTGTAAGGGTAGTGCCCACGTATCTTGCTGGCACTGGGAAAGCTGAAGCAGGAGAATTACTATGAATTAGAAGAAGTTTGGGCTGTGAAGGAGATGTGAGGAAGTATTTATGATTTGGTTTTGTCAAGGAGGGAAACTGAGGCTGGGAGAGGGGAGCCTAGAACCCTAACGACCCTCCCCCCTGTTTCCCTACCACGGGAGCTCTTGTGGGGGACTGCGGGCACGGTTCTGGGGTGCGCAGTTCTGGCCCCGCCCTTCTCGGGCCTTGGCCTCTACCGGTCCCTTGCCAGAACCAGTCAGCCAAGGACCGCAGCTGGGCAGAAGGGGAGAAGGTGTCCTTGGGTCTAGCCAAGGCCTCTCCTCCAGCTGTTCCTCCCCTCAGAACCCCACAGTTGGCCCCCAAGTCTGAACCACACGCCATAAGTCAGCTCTCCAACACTCCTAATTCCAGTCATAAACCATTTTTTTTCTACTGAATTCATTTATTCATTCACCAAACAGTTCCGGAGCCCAACCTGTAAGGAGTCTCACTGAACCCACAGGGCAGGGGAGATGGATACAGGCACTTCTGCAGACTGCAGGCGGAAGGGGCGGGTGAGTTTCTGGCCCAGGTGGAGCAGTACTAGGATCTGGTGTATGGAGTTCTGTAGGAGGCGGCTGTGCCAGGAAAGTATTTCCAGAGGTGACAATTGCGCAGAGCCCGGGCTCCCATAATTTAACATCTCTATTCTGAAAGGAAAGGTTGGAAGAGGGTAGGAGCAGGGAAGAGCAACCCTTAAAGGGTGGGGCCCAGGGGCGGACAGCTCCCTGCTGATGCTCACCCCGGCTGCTACCCGGGGTTTCCACGCCAGAGCGTGTCCAGCTGTGGACTCAGGATGCTGAAGGTCGGCCGGTCCTGCGGGCTGGGCGCCCAGCACAGCTGCATGAGCTCCTGAACCTGCGGGTGCAGAGGGAGGAAGGGGCTGGAGCTGATGCCCCACAACTCTCCATGGCTCCCTGTGGATCTGGGACAGAAACTAAGTCTTCTGTCTGAAGACAGGGTCTCAGTAACCTTGACTGGCCTCAGACTCGTGGCAATTCTCCTGCCTCAGCCTCCAGACTGCTGGGGTGACAGGCACGGCCACAGCTTGCCCACCTTTGCTTCTGTTTACCACGTAAAGGCACCACGCCCACCTCATGGCCATGTCTCTTACTGGGAATGACTTCTCCCACCTTCTCCAATGGTCACGGTTCACGCTTGGGAGAGGCCTTGAATCATCTTTTAAGGCGCCTTAGAACACTGTAGTTCAGTAGTGGGGCACTTGCCTAGAGCACGTGAGGCCCTGGCTTCAATTTTCAACATTGCAAAAAAAAAAGTAAATAATGAAAGAAATAAATAAAATATGGATTTGGGAGGGGTCGTGGTGGTGCACGAATTTGGCTTCTCCGTATAGGGGAGACTGAGGCAGGGAGATGTCATCAAGTTCTGGGCCACAGAGGCTGCACAGCGAGATCTTGTCTCAACCAAGGTAAAACGGAAGCCTCGCAGCAGAGCCTCCCTCATCCTGTTAAGCAGGGGCATTCCCATTCTGCATATGGGTAAACTGAGGATCTGCAAAGCACCTGTCACTAACCACACAGGGACAGGGAGGACAACTTGGGGCCAGGATCCCCGCTGTTAATCAAGAATGGAAACAGGGGTCAGGCAGTGGTGGCACACGCTTTTAACCCCAGCACTTGGGAGGCAGAAACGGCCGATCTCTGCGAGTTCGAGGCCAGCCTGGACTACAGAGCAAGTTCCAGAACACTCAAGGCCGTTACACTGTTACACAGAGAAACCCTGTCTTGACAAATAAAAAAAGAAAGAAAGAAAAGAAAGAAAGGAAGGAAGAAAGAAAGAAGGGAAACTAGGAAACCAAGTCTGCCTCCCTCACCTCAGTGGGGCAGGCAGGAGGCCGTGGGAGGCGGCGGCCCTCTGCCAGCAGCTCTAGGAGACGGCACAGCGCAAGCCCATCGCGATCTGGCCCCATCATGCGCAAGAATTCCTGTAGGAAGAAGGGCTGGGCGTCAGGGGAAGGGGCTGGGGGTAAGGGGGAGGGGCTGGGGTTAGGAGGAAGGGCTGGGAGTCAGGGGAAGGGGCTGGGAGTCAGGAGGAAGGCTGGAGTCAAGGGGAGGGTTGAGTGTCAAGCGGAGGGCTGTACTAACGGGTGGACTGGGGGTCAGGAAGAGGGCTGAGGGTCAGGAGGGAGGGGCTGGGAGTCAGGAGGGAGGGCTGAGAGTCAGGGGGAGGGCTGAGCGTCAGGGGTAGGGTCTGGTGGGTCAGGAGGGAGGGACTTGTGGGTCAGGGGGAGGGGCTGTGGGTCAGGAGGAGGGCTGGGAGTCAGGAGGGAGGACTGTGGGTCAGGGGGAGGGACTGGGGGTCAGGAGAGAGGGGCTGGGGGTCAGGAAGAGGGCTGAGAGTCAGGAGGGAGGGGTTGGGGTCAGGAGGAGGGCTGGGAGTCAGGGGGAGGGCTGAGGGTCAGGAGGGAGGGGTTTGGAGTCAGGGGGAGGGGCGCGGTGGAGCGGGTGACGCACGGCCGAAGGGCTGCAGCTCTTGTCGCTAAAGGTGAAGAGCTCATACAGCACCACACCGAAGCTCCACACGTCAGACTGGCAGGAGAAGATGTTGTCAGACAAGGATTCTGGGGCGTACCTGCGTGCGGGACAGGTGCGAGGTTAGTTCACGTGTTGGGGCGTGGTCACTGAAGGAATGGGCGTGGCCTCGGTGGGGCGTGGTCAGGCGCCTCCGTAGTGGCACCGCCCGTAGGAGCCGACTCAAGAGACTCCCGGGCACTAAGGGATAAGAGGGGAGCCTGTGGGCGTGGCCTGTGGGGATAGGGCAGGGCTTGGGACTGGTGAGCTTTATATGATGGGCATCTAGGTATAAGTTGCGTGAGGGGAGGAACCAGACAAACAGAAAGGAGAGGCGGACCCGCGGAGTATGAAAAGCCGGGCCGTGGGGAGAGGCGGGGCTAGCCTAGACACGGCCGAAGGGGCGGGGCGAGGGTGGGATCGGGAACTGGAGTCAGAACGAAGAGGGGCGTGGCTACTAATGGCTGCCACCCCTCTGCTGCGTGCATCTATGGGGCGGGGCTTCGTTGCTGTGGGCGGGGCCTCGGAGGACAGCACTAGCAAAAAGGAGGTGGGCTTGGGCGGAGTCTCGGTGGGCGCGGCGCCTGGGGCAGGGTCTCGCACCAGAAGATGGGGCTCTGGCCTGGTTCGCGGACCACGTAGTAGTCCTTTCCGAGCGGCAGCAGCTTAGCGAGGCCGAAATCCGCGATCTTCACATGCGCCTCGCTTTCCACCAGGATATTTCGCGCAGCCAGGTCGCGGTGCACGCAGCGCCGCGCGCCCAGGTACTCCATGCCCTGCAAGGGGCCGTGAGAGCCCATGGTCCCGGGATCCGGGACCCTTGCTAACTCTCGAACCCCAGCGCCAGGGTCTCCGACCCCAGGGCCCTCGATTCCCAACCTCCGCGCTGACCGTACCTTGCAGATCTGCCAGGCGAACAACAGCAGGCGGCCGGAGTGCAGGCGCGTGCGGTGGCGCTGCAGGAAGTCCCGCAGGCAACCGCTGGGCAGGTACTCCATCACCAACCGCAGGCTCTGGCGACCTGCGGACAGCGACAATAGCCCTCGCGCACCTTCTACCGCGTGTGTTGGTTCGTTCAAGCCTCAACTATGTAAACTGAGGTTCAGGGGAGTCGCACGACACTGCTCAACGGGGCCGGATGGGAGGGAAGAGAGGCAGGTTTCGAACCGCTCACCTGGTCCGTAGCTGACTCCCCGGTACTTGACGATGAAGTCGCTGTGCAGCGCCTTGAGGATCTGAATCTCCCGCTGGAAGTCCCTCTCCTGGTCTGGCCCGCTGTGCTGTAACTGCTTCACTGCTACCAGGGGTCCTGTATTGTCCCCCAGAGGGTCATAGCGGCACAGTTCCACGTTGCCAAAGTTGCCCTGTGAGAGGATGAGGGGTCATCTGGCTCATCTGGGGCTGAGGCCTGCATGCCCCACCCACCACACCCCGCCCACCCACGCTCGCCGCTCTGCCCATTCACCTTGCCCAACAGAGAGATGTATTTAAGGTGCCTCTCCTCAAAGATGGTGGGGTCCTGGCAGGCATAGAGCTGGGCGCCACTGCACAGCTCATCTCGGGGACTCAGGCTACCGGGTGTCGGGTCTGAGAGGAGCTCATAATCTGGGAGTCACATGTGTAAGTGTAAGCTTTCTCTGCCTTACACCGAAATGACTTGCTGTGTGAACTCCACCTGAACATTGCCCTCTCTGTGCACTATAGCCAGCCCGTGGGTACCACGTAGGGAGTGGAAACCATCACTGTCCAGACAAGGCACTCTCTGTGGGACTCTAGTGTTATAAACAAATGGGCCCCAGTGGGAACAGAGTCACGGAGTGAGGACAGCCTGTGACCCCAGATACCCTCAGATGAGAACATCGTGTCGACAAAACTTTAAGATTAATAAAATAAAACCAAATCCCAGCACCCCAGAAGGTGAGGCCGCGAGCACTCTAGTTTGAGAGGCTACCTTGTGAAACAAATGCATATCGAATCTTGAGCCAAGGGGCCTGTTTGTTGCTGCAGCAGTCTTTGATGGCGCTGACTGTTGGAGCCAGCAGCTTCCTTGTGTACAGTAGGGGACCTTTCCCGCTGCTCCCGGGACCCTCTACTCCCTGGGGACCCTTCCCTCCCCTCCCCTGGGACCTGCCCATCTCCACCCTCCCCTCCACTCCCAGCTTCCGGGACCCTCCTCCTTCCCACCACCCGACCACCACCCCGCACCTGACGTAATGAGGCCATTGAGGTCCCTGAGGATGGCACGGAAGGAGGGCCGCTGGCCCGGGTCGTAGGCCATGCACTGCGCGATGAGTCCCGCCAGCTCCGTCCACTTGAGGGCCGGCAGCTGCCCCCGGTCTTCGTAGAATTTCAGCTTCTGGGGGACAGGGGAGGGAGACTCCCATCACGTGGCCTTATCTTGCCCTCCCTCCCCACCCAACCTCGCCCGCACCCTCCCCCCCACCCCGGCTCACAGCTCAGAGGCCGCCCCGACCTTGGCGGGCTCCAGCGAGGTGATGTGCACGGGTCCCCCACTGAACACTTCCCACGCGGTGGCGCCGAAGCCCCACTTGTCGGCCTCTAAGCCGAGAGTCCGGGTTTCCTGCAGACACTCGGGGGCCACCCAAGGGATCCTGTCGGTGAGCACTGGAGGACGAGCAATGGGTGATTACCTTCCGGACACGCCCACCTGTGCACACCCTGTGCGACTGCGCCTGTCTGCAGACTCAGGAGGCTAGCCTGCACTCACTTTCTAGGCTCAGCACTGTGGGGCTGACGCCAGGGTCACTCAGCTTGATGAAGGGAGGACTCCCATCAGCCCCCTCTCGAGCCAGGAGCACCTTCCGCGCTGAGACGTTGCCATGAGGGAGGCCTTTGTCCTCCTAAGTATTACAGACCAAGGGAAGTGTGGGTTAGAGGTTGGTGAATGAATACTGTCCGACAAACTCCTCTGCATCCTTCAAAACCTAGCTGCCGGGATAGAATAGACTCTGGCAGCTCCTGTGGGCTCCTGGCATCTTGTAGCCCTAGTCCTGTTATACTGACTTACCGTGCCCCTCCCTCCCTTTATGTTCCCGGGGCTTACTGCCCCAAGCCTGCTCAAGACCTCAAGACCTCTCTCTCTCTCTCTCTCTCTCTGGAAATTTGTAGACCAGCCTGGTCTCGAACTCACAGAGAGCCTCCTACCTCTGCCTACAAAGTGCTGGGATTAAAGGTGTGTGCCACCACTGCCTGCCTTCTTGATGAACTCTTACTCAATTTTCTAACCCCCCAAAAAGTCTAAGGTTCCCTGTTTTTGAAAAGACTCTCCCCAGCGTGGCCTCATCACTCTCAACTCCCCTTGACATCCGTGGGTGCACAGTTCTCACCCTTGATGCTCTCAGTCCTCTGAGCCGACCATGTCCTGGTCCCTCACCCTGAACCGTCCGCTCTTTCTTCCTTACTGAGCTCCTTCCCACACCACAGAGCCCATTTTCATTTCCCTGTCCTCGGAGGAAGCCTCCCCTATGAACACAGGGAACACTAACCAAATAGTTGAGGGCATAGGCCAACTGCTTGACCACCTGCAGCTTCCAGCTGGCCGGCACCACATGACCACGCTTGCGCAGGTACATATCAATTGCTCCTAGATAGACAAATTCCTGCACCATGATGCCTGGCAACAGGGAGAACAGGGTTGGCAGCTTGGCTAAGTACAGTGCTTAGCCGGCTCTGGCCTCTGCTCTTAGCACAGGCTCAACTGAAGGGATTATAACAGAGGTTCAGAGAGGGTGTGTCAGAGGCGCAATGTTGCACAGCGATTAGCTAGCAAGGTAGAAATGGAACCAAGTCTGTGGGTGTGGGTCTGGGGTGTGAGGTAGGTGAGTTTGGGGTGTGTAAGAGGCATCATGAAGGTCAGGAGTGGGTGGGTGAGGGGCCAGGGCTGGGGTGCAGGGTGAGGCTCACTGTCTCCAGCCATGCAGACGCCATGCAGCAGCACGAGGTGCGGGTAGGACACTTGGCTCATCAAGCTGGCGGCCTCTAGGAAGGACTGGAGGGAAAGCAGAAGATGCATGGATTCCCCCGCATCTGGTCCCAGTATGAGGCTCACCACTCTGATGAGATGCGCCTAGAGTGTGTTGGAAGTCTCTCGGGATGTGATGTGCTTGGGGAAGAGCTGAGATCTCACTCTTCCTTGGTCCTGCCCTGCAGATCTCATGCCCTATCAGTAACCCTCAGGACCTCTGCTTGGCGGAGCGTGGCTGCTCTCGGTTTTGGTTTGATGGACTCTCTATGTCCCTCTGGCCTTGGACTTCTAAGTCCCAGTGATCTTCCTGCTTCAGCGTCCCCCCAAGTGCTGGGACAACAGGACCGGCTCCATGCAACTCTGCATGCATGGCCTTCTGTTCTGGTTCCCGCCGCACCTCCATGCAGTTCCGGTGTCTGGCGTCCATGACCTTCAGGAGGACTTCCGTCTCGTGTGTCTCGCCATCCACGGCCTCCCGCCGGTGGCCGCGGTAGATCTTCGTGAAAGAGCCATGGCCCAGGTTCTCGTGCTGAGCGGAAGACGCCGAGGCGGCGACAGTTGACAGTGGCTCCCAGGTCCCCCAGAGAAAGGCCCGGTGATCCACACCCACTTCAGGCCCCAAGGATCCTCACCCACTCCAGGCTGTCCGCAGGGATCGTGTGGAAGCTCAGCTGCATCAGTGTGCAGCGGGACGGGGTGCTGCTCGGGGCTGGGGAAGGGGTGCAGCCCCTTCTTACCACGATCAAATTGGACTTTTCTAGGGGGCAGAAGCAAGAAAGCAGAGGTCAGAGGCCAAGGTTCCCAAGAGTCCCCCTCCCCTGCCTGAGGAACCCCCAGAATTCGCTCCTGAGAAGCAACCTGAAAGGGCTGGTTTGTGAGCAGAAGGGTCGAGGCCACAGTTATCCTGTGTGAACCAGGGCAGCGTTGTCGGGTGGGGAGACATGTCCCAGCAGGGGCTTTGTCTCAGCGACATCCACCCACAGAAAGAAGCGAGGGTGGCGGTAAACAGAACTGACTTTGCACAAAGTCAGATTGGGCCACACCTGAAGACTGCACCAAAAATAGATGGCAGATTCTTTCCTATCCTCCATTCCCCAATTTCAGTCCCAGCCAAGAACTGCTAGGATTGGTGGGGAGGAAGACCGGCTCACCCTTGGGTCTGGGGGTGCAGCAGGATGTGAGGTTCAGGGCGGCACCATCTACATTCAGGCCAGAATGCCAGCAGGCTGCAAGGAGCTCCCGGAGGCTTCGGTGAGGCTGGCTGAGGCCGACCAGGGAGAAGGCCCCGGTGGGGTCCCGGCGGATGAGGCAGCCCTTGTAGTCTGGGCCAAGGGGCGTCTGGGAAGGGAAACTGGACCTGATGCAGGGATGGGGAAGGAAGCAGAGCCCCCAGCCCATGCTGCCTCCAAGCCTCTGTAGACGCTCTTCTAGGTACTGTAAATTTGTGTGTTCCCTGAGTTTTTATTTTGTTTTGTTTTGTTTTCCCCTGAGCTTTTTTGAGTTTTAAAATTTACATTTATTTCTGTGAGTTTCCGTGGAGATGCATTGTGCACACATGGTGGTCAGAGGGCAATTTATGTGGGTCAGTCCTGTCCTTCCATCATGTGAGTGCCTGGGATTAAACTCGCATCTTCAGGCTTGGTGGGAAATACCTTTTCCCCTTGAGACAACTGCCCCAAGTCCATCCTCACATTTTTTTGATGCACAGTCTCTCTATGTAGCCCAGGCTGGCCTGTAAACTTGATCCTCCTGTCTCAGCCTCTTAAATTCTAGGATTATAGTTCAGTACTCTTCAAGAAAAAAATGAATATTCCTGATAGTGTCCCAACTCAGATGTCACCTCCTCCAGGAAGCCATCCTGTCACCAGCAGCGAACCAACCTGGACGCAGGCAGTGAGAAGAAAGCTGTCATAGTCCTGAGGGCTGCGGCGGAGAATGTAGGAGCCCGGGAGGGAGCCAGCGGTCTTCAGTTTGTGCACAGCAAAGTCTGACCTAGGCCAAGACAGAGGCAGGTCAGACTGGGACCATTCCCTGTCGCCCAGTCACGCCCCCAGGGGTGTCCTCACCACTGTCCAGGACCCTCCGCGACCCCACTGTGACCCCAGGCTGCCCACTCCTCACGTGATGGGTCCGTGGCACATCTCTGCCACCTCTTCCAACAGCCTTGGCGGTGCTACCTCCTTGCAGAAGAAATGCCTGGAGTCGCAGGTCAGGCGGAAGTAACCATCTACGAGGGCCACGAAGGACAGCGCCTCGGGCAGCCCCGGGAATTCTGCTTCCTGCGCGGGAGAACTCTTCAGCAACGAACTGAGCCCCCACGCCACCCGCACTGCTCCCAGGGTCAGCACCAGAGAGCGGGTCCCAAGACCCACCAGGATGTGGCTGTCCATCCTGGTAACGGTGACCAGCCGATGCTCGCCTGCCGGACCCACGCGTGGGGCCTGCTTGATGCTGACGTCCACGATTTCGGGAAAGTCACAGAAGGTCTGGAAAAGCTGAGGAAGAAAGGACGGAGCGAGGCCGGGGGATTACATCCCTGAGCTTTCAGTGCCTCAGTGAGCCTGCAGCCCTGATCCAGACCTACCATGTCTTCTTTTCTCTCCTTCCCACGCCCTGGGCCTAGAACTAGCTACCCTCCGACCCAATCCGAACTACCCCCTCCGTTTGACCCCGCCCCCGCACAGCCCCGCCCTGACGACCCTACCCAACAACCGGCCAGTGGTGATAACCAGGCCTAGGGTCCCTCCCCTAATTAGCTCCGCCCTGAAGTCCAGTCCCTGGTAGCCCTGCCCACTGAGCCGCCTCCAACTAACCCCGCCCCGTGGTGTTGCCATTCCCGCCCCCAAATTAGCCCCGCCTACTGACTAGCCCCGCTCCTTGATTGGTGCAGGCGGTCCCGCCCCAACTGTCCCCTCGCTGGATTGGTTCCCCCTGATTGGCCCTGCCCCACTCCGGTCTCTAACTGCTCCCCTGATTGGTCCCGTCCCTGGCCGGCTTCTTTACTGACCGCCCCGCCTCCTAAGGCCCTGACCACAGCACCTCTTGGTCCCCAGGGCTCCAGGCGACGCCGCTGCCCCCAGCTATGCGCAGGAGCCCTGGTCCCTCCTGGGTTCCCGGGAGCCCCACGCGGAAGGTCTCGGCGGCGGCCGCCGGGTGCAGCCGCTCCAGGTCCAGGATGTACTTGGCCATGAGCGAGTAGCGGTCGGCCTGGCAGGCGACCACGCGGCGCAGCGCCTGGAGCACCGTCCTGCGGATGCGCCTTCGTGTCACGAAGCTCAGACCCTGGATCAGGTCGCGCAGGCCGGGTGGCAGGCAGGCCTTGTAGCTGTGGGGTGGGAGCACGCGGGGTCTCAGGGTGGGGAGAGGTGCCCGAAGGACACGAGACCGACATCGGGGACCTTTCGGCAGAAGCGGACTGAGGGAGAGTCTGCAGGAGTCAGCTTTGGAAAATGAGGTAGGTGTAGAAGTTTGGTAAGGGAAAACGATAGAACCCCAGGTCCGCAGCCAATTGAGACCAGGGAGCTATGGCCCGGGAGCCGCGTCACTGGGCAGGCCCAGGTCCTCACCTGACGGTCTTCAGCAGCTCGCCTGGCCTCTGGGCCTGCTCACTGGCCATCTGTGCCAGGTCCAGCACGGCCAGGCTCAGACACTCTCCCTGCTCCTTCAGGCTGAGACCCATTGGGAGGCGTCCACTCACCAGGTCACTGCGGTGCTGAGGTCGGACACAGGCGGACAGCCAGGTGAGGTCCTGCCCAGTCTGACCTGGGAGGTTGTTGCTTTGGGGTCCCCATCCCTGGGTTGAGCCTTCCCCACCGAAGACTACCAACCTGGGCAAAGAGGTGTTCTAAAACGTGTAAGTCGAGTATGGCGCTGGTCAGATCTTTGCGCAGCCCAAAGCGATGACATGTCTTCAGCCCAAACCAGTCAGGGAAATAAAACCTGTGAATTCAGAATGGGGTGGCACACTCAGCTCTGGCTTCACAGAGCCCAAGTTGTCATTGATGGGCTGTGTGGACTACAGCCCACCCTCTCTGGTCTTAGCCTCTACTGTGGACTGAATAGTAACACCACCCTTCCGGGGAATGGAGGGGCTCACTTCCTACCGGAGCCTGTAGACCAAGACTTGAGTGTCCACGTCCTCCACAGAGAAGATGTGGCTTGGGGGGAACCAGCGAGACAAGTCCTCGGTGGCCAGAGCGAAGAGCGGGTGATACACAGGCAGGATTCCTGAAGGGATGGGCCCACGAGCTCAGTCACCTGTGCAGCAACCCAGGCTGAGCCCATGACCCTCCCTTACCAAACTTCTCCTCAGCCCTCAGGGCCCCAGCACCCAGGCTGACCACTCCTTTTCTCAATAGATGTCTAGGAACCTACTCACCACAGACCTTGGCTGCCCGCACACACAGATCCTCTGCCAAGTAGTCCCCAAAAGAGAATGACAGTCGCTGGGGAGGCCCAGATCCCCGCGGAGGAAGGAGGACATGCAGGGATCCCGCCTCTGAGGACGAGAGGCTGCAAGAACGCTGAGGGATCAGAGGCGTCTCCTCACTTGGAGGTGCCATGAGTACAACCTGGAGATCAGAGGGGGACTGAGCACGCGGGCTGGGGACCAGGTGTCTTCTGGTTCTGTGTGAACTCACACCCCTCTGCATGTCTCTGCACCCAGAGCAGACATCTCCAACATCCTCCCTCCACATCCCATCCTAGCCAGGCAGGCCAATACCCCAGGCAGATACAGAAATAGGTCTGAGCAGAAAGCAGGAAGCAGAAGGGGTTTGGAGGGATGGGACAGCTTTCATTCCCTGTAGGTCTTCTGGTCACATGACCAGCTGAGCTTCCTCTGCTGTGATGGTCTGTGGCCTGTTGTCTCCCCAGCCCTTCCTGGTCTCTGTTCACCTCCACATCCAGCCGGCACTTTGTGGGTCTCTTAGCGCCTAACAGTGGGGGAGGTTCCTAGCCAGCCCTCAGAGTTGGTGCTAGCAAGGGGCGGGACTTGAGCCCCACAGGCCTACCACCTCAGGACTGGGAAAGGCGCTTGCCATCAAGCCTAAAGACAGATAGGAGTTCCATCTGCAAAGCCACATAGTGGAGAGGGCAGTTTGACGACAGGTCGCTCTGACCTCTGCATGTGCATCCTCCCATAAAGCAACAAAAGTAGGCATGGTGACTCACACTTACCACCACAAAAGTCCAGTGGTGGAGGCAGAACACTAGAAGGCCAAGGCCAGCCTGGGCTGCAAGAGACGGGGTTTAAACAGACAAACAACAACAGAAATATGTAAGTAAATAAATAGATTAAGAAAACAAGGCTGAGTGGCCTAGAGCACTGAGGACCTGCATTCAGTCCCCAGCAACCATGGTGGTGCTCAATCATCTCCTGCGCCGGTGGACACAGCGCCCCTTCTGGCCTTCGCAGGCATTGCACTCGTGAAGCTCATGTTCTCCCGGCTGTGGGGCCCAGCACTCAGAAGGCAGAGGCAGGCGGATCTCTGTAAATTTCGAACCAGCCTAGTCTACAAAGCGAGTTCCAGGACAGCTGGGGCTACACACTGAGACACCGTCTCAACAAATAAACACCCAAAACAAAACACATAAAAATAAAGTAAATAAAAATAAACAAAACTAATGCCAGGCAACAGTGGTCCCATGCGAGCACTTGGGAGGCAGAGGCAGGCGGATCTCTGTGAGTTTGAGGTCAGCGCATTTTTAGCGCAGTCAGTGCTTCATAGATAGACACTGTCTCAAATAAAGAAAATAGAGAAAACCTATTACCGTTTGTGGTGCTACACTCGATGTTCCAGGTTCAAAGTCAGATTCGTCTCAAGAAACAAATAAGAGCGGGCAAGACGGCTTAGCAGGTAGAGATTTGCCCCAAGCCTGAAACCCCCAGGAGGAAGAAAAGAACCCACTACAGCAAGGTGTCCTCTGGCTTCCAAAGTGCGCCATAGCAATACACTCACACAGAATAAAATTATTAAAGATGTTATTTAAGTATATAAACATAAAATCATTGTTATTTCCCTCAACTCTTGTTGCTCCTGGGGAGGCTGCAGGAGGATTGCTACGAGTTTGGGGGCTACATAGTGACCAGGCCAATAAGGCTACAGAGGGAGAGCCAGTATCAAAATACAAAATGAAAGAAATAAAACAACAAAGCGGATACAAGTCCTAAAGGAGTATGAGCTTTTACCGAAGGAAAGTTCGGGCCCTTTTCCTCCCGCGCCGCGGACCGGAGAGTGGGGGGCAGGGAGGCCGCAGCGCATGCGCGCTGCTGCCGTCGCCCTGTGTGGTGTCCTCCGCTGCGTCCCGCTTCCGCGCCCCCAGTGCCCAGTGCCCGCTCCCCGAGCTCCTACCTGCAGCTGCGCCGAGGTGGCGGCAGCCAGGCTGTGACAGGAAAGTCCCCGCTCCTTCCTGTGAGGCCTCTGAGCTTCCTGGCCGCCTCATTTACCGAAAGTCAGGACGCCCTGGGGGCGGGGCGGGGTTGGAGCCTAGAAACCTGTGAAGCTGAGGCCACCCTACTGGGGTAGGAGCCTGGTGACAAGTAGACAAAACAGGAAGGGAGGGGGTTGCTGGGGACGTGAGTGTACAGAGGGAGCCCTTTCGAGGCTGTTGTCACGCGTGTCCTTGGAGCCACTTGGGGCCTGCCCGGGCCGGGACCTGCTGTACATTTCAGGCTTTGGTTTCCACTCCACCCCCAACCTTTAACCTCCTAAAGGACACTGAGCAATGCTCAAAAAACACAGGGGGGAAAACCCAAAACCTCTGAACCACCCAGTCCTGATGAGCTAAGAGGAGTCTTCTCTTGGGGACCCCACCCCCGTGCTGGGCGTGCACACACTTCCTCTGAAAACCTCGCCTTCTATTGATGCTCAAAACTACAGCTATGGGAGCCTGCACGGCTGAGCCACACAGCTCGAGTTCGAACCGTGGAACTCAGACTCAGCCTGGGGGTTTCTGGAAAGAAGTCCTCAGGCCACAGCAGGTGATGGTGGGAGCCCTTCCTCCATCCCTGGCTCTCCTGACAGCCTCAGGCTCCTTAGCAGGTTCCAGACTGGCTTGAGCCCGGCCTCCGTTTACCCATCTGTTGCCAGTGTGGCTGCAGCATGGGTGGAACCGCGCTGCTCTGTGCAGAGGAGTCGGTTCCCCTGAAGAACCCAAAGTTATTTTCTCAGAGGTCTCTCTCCGAGCCTCAGACCCGCGCACCCGCAGTTCCTGGAACACCATGCAGAGCGGTCCAGTAAGCCTCTTGGGCTGCCAATACCAAAATGGCCAGGAGAAGATTAAGTGAGGAAACAAACTTCAGGAATGAAAACAGGAAGAGACAGCCAGTGTGATATGCAGGATGAGGCAGAGGATTGACAGAGGAAATCAAGATGCGCCATAGCTCACTGGAGGGGCCCTACCTATAATGCCTCTGGAGGAGCTGGGGGCGTGGCTCAGGGGGTGGAGCTCTGCCTAGGATCCCCAGTGAGGGACTGGGGGCCTTGACGCAGCGGCCCCGCTTGCACAGTGTCATCCCATATCCAAACTCTCCTGACAATGCCTCAGTTCACCCACCTGCAGAAGAGAGAGTGGAACAAAGAATGGGTCTTATGGCTTTGCGACAGCTCATTTGAATTCCATCCTAGAAACCGAGAAATCCTAAGACCTCCAGTTCTTGTTTTGCTGTTGTTTTGTTTCTCCGAGACAGGGTATCTCTGGGTGTTGCCCTGACTGTCGTGGAATTTGCTGTATACCAGGCACGGCTGGCCTCAGATGCACAAAGATGCACACTCTGCATCCCGAGTGTTAGGATTAAAGATGTGCGCCACCACCCGACTTCATTTTTAAATTTTTAGATAGATATCAGTGGTAAATAAGGCCACTTCAGGCTGGAGTGTGGGGGTCCCACAGCGACTCGATTCCCAACTTGACTTTGTTGGACTAGAAGTCCAAACATCAGGGAGGAGTTGCTCCAGACACCACTTGCATAACCTCAACTGATGCAAAAGCAACAGGATTTTTATTCTGTCATGACATTGCCCTTCAGGTTCGGGATATGAAGGACATCGGATAGCTGTTACAGTCCATCTTTTAAAGCAAAAAGCCACAGACCCGAGGGGGGAAATCCAACTTATTGGACTGGCTTATTTAAAAGGTCACTAGCAGTGATTGGTCTATTCCAGGGCAGGAGAACAGCTACGTGGTCAGGTGAGATAGGGGGAACATCTGTGGGCCATCCTGGCCTTGTTCTAGTGACTAAATCAAACATCAGGAACTGAGTCAACATCTGTGGATTGTCTTTGCCTCAATTCCCAGAATGGAGTTATGTTTGAAGATTATTCACAAGGACACAGGAGGATGAGCAGTCCAGCATGAGTGTGTGTGTGTGTGTGGGGGGGGGGCGACTGTCCCGTTTCTAAATGCTAAGAGGCTTCAGAAAATGTCTTTAGAGCTGAGAGGTCTCAGAAATGCATTTAGAGTCTTTCAACTTAAGGTCAGAGAGTTCAAACTTGTCAAGGCCAAATAACAGGATGTCTGACTGAGGCATGGTTACTAGATGTTTGACTGAGGCATGGT